CTTGGCGGTGTTTCACTCTGTGGTACATGGTATCACTGTGAGTCAGAAGTGACTCTAAGGCACTTAACCACAATGACGATTAATGTATTGGATTAATTTTTCAGATTGGCTATATTAACCTTAATAGGAAAGTCTGAGAAAACGTGGCTAAAAAGAAAGAACTAAAGGTTAATCGTTCATGTTATGTGGGATGACAGCAAGGTGCATTAAGGCTGAATCTGGGAAGGTACTCTATGGGAACCCGTTAAGAAGTCAAGGTAAGTGTGTGCCTAAGTCCAAGTTGAGGTTGTGCAGAATGGGAAGAAGAGAGGAATAACTAAACCCTCTTGATAATTTTATCTAGTAAAGAATTACTGAAATTAAAGCACAGAGGGAATAACAGGGAAACAAATATAATAGGCTTAGAAATCATATGCAGCAGTTTGTTATGTGAGCCAAACATATATATAATGTGCAAAGCTATTGTTTATCAACAACACAAAAGGCTACTATACAAATTAATGTCTCCAGATGGAATACACAGATATCAAACTGACTATATCTGTAAGAAGACACAATGGAGAAGGTCAATATCAGCAGCTGAAACCACGCCAGAGGCTGAGTGTGAAACAAACCATCAATTGCTTGCATGTAAGTAAAGGTTAAAGCTGAAGGACATTAAAACAAGTCCACAACAGCCAAAATATTACCTTTAGTATATCCCACCTGAAATAGACGATTTCAAGAATAGATTTGATTTATTGAACACTCATGACAGAAGACCTGATGAAATGTGGGCAGGCATGAATAACATAATTCATCAAGTAACAAAGGGTTATTAAAAAGACAGGAAAGAAAGAAAAGATCAAAGTGGATGTCAAAAGAGACTCTGAAAATTATTCTTAGTCCTAGATGGCAACAAATGAAGTTAAAGAGCTGAATAAAAAATGTCAAAGGGCAGTTTGAGAAGAAAAGCCCAAATATTATAATGAGATGTGCAAAGACATAGAATTAGAAAACCAAAAAGGGAGAGTTTGTTTAGCATATCTGAAACTGGAGGAAAAAAAAACACCTCGGGACCTCCAAGTTGGAAGAAAAGGAGTAAAAATACCTGTAAGGGCCGGTAGTGGGAAGCATCTCTGGTAATATGCACCAAATACAGGCCAAGTGACATAGAACACCAGGGCATTGAATCCTGGATATGTGGGGGCGCACAACATGCTCCAAATGCCGTGGGAGAGAGATCTGATGCTGCAACTCCACTAAGTGAACTGGACTCTACCTCAAACATACCTGTAACCTAAAGACTTACGACTGAAAATTCATGGTGTTTAAAGAAGTAGAAGAGAGCTCGGGAGTATTGACCTGTCAGTAGGTAGATGATTATTGACTTACTACATCAATACCCCATATACTGTGTTAAGATATATATTATTCTGGCAAACCAGTTACTGACATTCTCAGTGAATATTGTTGTAAGTGTTCCCTGACAAACAACTCCCATTGTTTGTGTAAAAAGCGTCCAATCACAAAAGGATTTATTTTGCACAATGTGAATAATTCAGGGATTGTGATATGTAGTTAGCTTGCTTTGGCCTCCAGGAATTGATGGACTACCAATTGAAATGTTTCTGCTAGGTGATGCAGTATTGGAAGCACCTACTCATCTATGGCAGGACATTTTTAAGACAGCTACTTGGATAACTTATTGGAAGATATCCATATTTGTGTCCACTCCAAAGAGCTGACCAAATAAATGCTCAAACTATAGAATAGTATCATTAACATCACATGCCAGTAAAATTTTGTTGAAGATAATCCAACAGTGGTTGCAGCAGTACATTAACAGGGAGTTTTCAGAGGTCCAGGCTGATTCAGAAGAGGACATGGAACAAGGGCTCTAACTGCTAATATTAAATGGATCTTCACTCAAAGTAAAGAATACCAGAAATATGGCTACATATGATTTATTAACTATGCAAAGACATTCATTTGTATGGATCATAACAAATTATAGATAACCTAGAGAAGAATGGGAATCCCAAAACCTTAGTTGTGTTCATGTGGAATTTTATACTTGGATCCAGAGACAGTTGTGGGAACAGAACAAGGGACTACTGCACGGTTTAAAATAAGGAAAACTGTACCTCAGGGTTGTATTACCTCACCATATTAATTCAATCTGTATTCTGAGCAAATAATCTGAGAAGCGAGAATATATGAAGAAGAATGTTGCTTCAGAATTGGAGGAAGGCTTTGACAACCTGCTATACACAGATGATACAACCTCGCTTGCTGAAAGTGAGGAGGACATGAAGCACTTGCTGATGAAGATCAAGGATTGCAGACTTCCATGTAGATTATGACTCAGGGTAAAGAAAATCAGAATCCTCACAACTGGATCTGTAGGTAACATCATGATAAATGGAGGAAAAATTGAAGTTATCAAGGATTTTGTCTTACTGTATCCACAATCGATGTTCATGGAAGCACCAGTCAAGAGATCAAAAGATGTGTTGCATTGGTAAATCTGCTGCACAAGACTTCTTTAGAGTATTGAAAGTAAGGGTGTTACTTTGTGGACAAAGGGGTGCCTGATCCAAGAAATGTTATTTTCAATTGCCTTGTATTCATATGAAAGCTAGACATGGAATAAAGAAGGCAGAAGAATTGGTGCTTTCGACTAGGGTGCTGGAGAAGAATCTTGAAAGTGCCATATGGTTGCTATAGGTCAGAATCTGCTCAATGGCACCTAATAACAACAACATCAAGACTACTGCGTTGTGTGTGTGTATCATTTTTTTAATCATTTTATTAGGGGCTCATACAACTCTTATCACAATCCTTACATACAGGTGTGTAAAGCACATTTGTACATTCATTGCCCTCATCATGCTCAAAACATTTGCTCTCCACTTAAGCCCCCAGCATCAGGTCCTCATTTCCCCCCTCCCTCCTGCTCCCCCCTCCCTCATGAGCCCTTGATAATTTATAAATTGTTTATTTTGTCATATTCTGCCTTTTCCGATGTCTCCCTTCACCCACTTTTCTGTTGTCCGTCCCCCAGGGAGGAGGTCACATATAGTTCCTTGTAATCGGTTCCCTCTTTCCAACCCACTCTCCCTCTACCCTCCCAGTATCGCCACTCACACCACTGGTCCTGAAGGGATCATCCGCCCTGGATTCCCTGGATTTCCAATTCCTACCTGTACCAGTGTACATCCTCTGGTCTAGCCAGACTTGCAAGGTCGAATTTGGATCATGATAGTGGGATTTAGGAACTAGAGGAACTAGAGGAAAGTTGTATTTTTCATCGTTGCTACATCGCACCCTGACTGGCTCATCTCCTCACCAAAACCTCCCTGCCAGGGGATCTCCAGTGGCCTACTAATGGGCTTTGGGTTGGATCAGCTTCTTTATCCAGTCTTCAACTGATGGGTATTTGAGCTGTTTCCACCTTCTTGCTATTGTGCACTGTGCAACAGTAAACAAGTGAGAGCATGAATCCCTTGTTGCTCTCTCTCTTACCTCTTTACGGTATATGCCCAGTATGGTATTAGTATTGCTGGATCATATGGGATTTCCATTCCAAGTTGTTTTAGGCACGGACCTGGTCAAAGAAATGAAGCTGGAGATTGCATGATAGAATTTTGAAAAACCAAGGACCTGTTCATATCAAATACTTTTTTTCAACAAAACAAAAGGGATGCCTGGCATCTTTTTCATGGGGTTCTCCATTGCCTCATATGCATGTGAAACTTGGACATTGAATAAGGAAGACCAAAGAAGAATGGATGGATTTGAATAGTGTGGCTGGAGAAGAATCTTGAAGTGCCATGGACTGCCAAAAGGACAAACAAATCTGTATCGGAAGAAGTAAGACCAGAGTGTTCCTTAGAGACAAGGGTGGCAAGACTTCATCTTACATAATTTGAACATCTTGGCAGGAGAAACCAGTTCCTGGAGAAGGACATCAAGTTTGGTAATGTGGAAAGGCAGCGAAAAAGAGGAAGACCCTCAACAAGGCGGACTGATAGATTGACGCAATGGTTGCATCAATGGGCTTAGGCATAGGAACAATTGTGAGAAAGGTGCAGGATCATGCAATGTTTTGTTATGGTGTGCTTAGGATTGCTATGGCTTGGAGTCAACTCAATGGCGCCGAACAATATCAACAACATATTGCTTCCCATAGTGGCCATAGATGTTTAGAAACCCAGTAGCACTGTATAAATGTTCTAATTGCTCCACATCCTCTCCAGCTTTTGAATTTTAAAATAAAATTCTATTATTGTGGGTGAAAGGAGATATCTCATTGTAGTTTTGTTTTGCATCTCCCATGTGGCTAGGGAGCACGAGCATGTGTTTGGTATCCACTTGAGTGTCATATTTGGTGAACTGTCTGTCCATGTCTTTTGCCCACTTTTTAACTGGCTTATTTATTTTCTCTTGAATGTGTTCTAGAGTTCCATAGATTTTGGCAATTAGGCCCTTGTCCACTGTGTCATTGCAAAACTTTCATTTTCTTAACCTGTGGATTCTCCTTTTACACTTTGAATGATGTCTTTTGATGTGCATAAGTGTTTTATTCTAAGTAGGACCTAGTCATCTATTGTGTCATCCACTGTGTATGCTGCCTTTATTTTTATACTTGGTAGTCTGTGTGTGCCCTGCAGTTGGCTACTTAAGTTTGCCCCAAATTTCTCATTGATGATCCTTATAGCACTTCCATTTACATTTAGGTCATTAATCAATCTTAATTTTGTTTTGTGCATGAGGAAAGTTATGGGTCCTTTTTCCTTTTTCTGCATATGAAAATCCAAATTTTCTAGCACCATTTATTGAAGATGGTGTCCCTCCTTCATTTGATATGTTTTGGTCCTTTGAGGAAGATTAGTTACCTGTAGGTTAATGCACTTTCTTCTGGGATTTCTATTTTGTTTCTTTGATGTGCATGTCTATCATCATGCAAGTACCTGTCTGTTTTTTTGTTTTGTTTTGTTTTGATTTTGGGGTTTTTTCACTGTGTAACCCACTTCAGTGCCTTAAGCCCACCGGGTAAAGACAGGCAATGGTTGGGAGTGACAAATTTCCTTTGGCATGGGACACTGTGAGAGGCCCATGGGATTGGACCTGCCACAAATCCAAACCCATGCACCCTCTCTGTTTTGACTACTAGGGCAATATAGTACGTTGTGGGGTCAAGAAATGGGAGGCCTCCTACCTGATTCTTCTTTTTAAGAAGTTATTTGGTTATGTTGGTTCTCATCCCTCTCCTTATGAATTTGGTAATTAAATTTTCGATTTATTTAAAGAAGGAACTTGTGATTTTGATGAGTATTGCGGTATATCTATAGATCATTTTAGGCAGTATTGACAGTTTCACAATATTAAGTCTGCCTATCCATGAACATGGAATATGCTTACATTTTCATAGGTCTATTTTGGTTTCTTGTCATAGTTTTCCTTATATGTGTCTTGTTTTGGTGGTTAGATTTATTCCTAAGTAATTCATCTTTTATGTGGTTATTGTAAATGGTATTGCTTTCCTAATGTATTTCTTAGAGCTCTCATTGCTGGCATAAAGGAATCCAAATAATTCCTGTTTGTTAATATTTTATCCTGCTATTTCCAAGTCCCTTGATTGCTACAAACAATAGTTTGATGGAGTCAAGTTTTACTTCTTTGTCTATTTGTATTTCCTTCGCTTCTTTTTGTTTGTCTGATGGTTCTGGCTAAGACTGCCATCTTTCAGGAAAAATGTTTCCAGTTTTTCTCTGTTGAACATGTTGGCTGTTGGTTTATCACATTTGGCCTTTATTATGAGGAGGAATTTCCCTTCTATTTCTGTTTTGTTGAGTTTTTAGTCAGAAATGGATATTGGATAATGTCAAATGCCCTTTCTGTCTATTGATATGATAATGTGGATCTTGTTCTTTACCTTGTTTATGTGGTGGATTAAATGTGTTGTTTCATGACAATAGAACCATTTTTGCTTCCATGGTATGAATCCCACTTGGCCATGGTGAATTATTTTTTGATATGGATTCTCTTGGCCAGAATTTGGTTGAGGATTTTTACGTCTATCTTCATGAGATATATTTGCCTGTGGTTTTCTGTTTTATGGAGTCTTTGCCTGGTTTGGTCATCAGGGTTATGCTTGCTTCATAGAAAGAGTTTGGAAATTTGTTATCTTTTTTCTATATTACGGAATAGTTTGTGTAGTACTGATGACATATGTGGCAGAATGCCCCTCTAAAGCCATCTGGTCCTGGGCTTTCCTTGGTTAGAAGTTTCTTGATGAACTTTTCTATTTCTTCTTTTGTTATGGGCCTGTTTAGGTTTTCTACAGATGTCTGTTTTTTTAAGTGTATGTAGTATTTCTAAGTATTGGTCCATTTCTTCTATATCAGGGATTAGCAATCTGCAGTTTATGAGCTTTATGAACCTCTTTCAGTATGTACATGTGGATTTGAAGTAAAATTGATAATGAAAATCAAAATGCCATAGTTTCACTTAAAAGATATTTTTCTGATAAAGGTGATTTCATTTGCTTGTAAAAATACATCTATGGCTCTCAAATACTTGTTAAATTGTTGTCAGTGACAGGATTGGCTCTTCTGTCTCAAAAGCTTGCCAACCCCTTCTCTAAATTATCAAACTTGTTGGAGTATATTCTTTCATATGAGTATTTTATTGTTTATTTTATTTGGATTTGTGGTGATGTCTCCCTGTTTATTTCTTATTCTAGGAATTCGCATCTATTTCTTGTCTATTGGTAAGTTTGCTAGCAGAGTGTCAATTTTGTTACTACTTTAAAATAATCAACGTCTGTCTTGTTGATTTTTCTTTTGCTTTGTTTTGTTTTCCAGTTTGTTTATTTCTGCTCTAATCCTTATGATTTATTTTCTTTTCTCTTTTTCTCTTGCTGGAAGGTTTATGTTATTACCCTTGTTCCGGTTGTTGAAGGTATTGTAGGTAGTTGTTGATTTCAGATTCATCCTCTTTTAAAATTATGTGGATTGATTGATATAAATTGACCTCTGATAACTGCTTTTGCTATGTCCCAAAGATTTGGGTATATTGTGTTACCATTTTCACTTGTTTCAGGGAATTTTTAAAATTTCAGGCCTTATTTGGTTCAACTATCCAGTCATTTTTATATAGTATGTTTTTCATTCTCTATATGTTTGCCTTTGTGTTTCTGCTGCTTCTATTGCTGATTTCTACTTTCACAGCCCTGTAATCTGATAAAATAGATTGTAGGATCCCAATTTGATGTTGTTGTTAATGTGTGATTTGTGGCCTAGCATATGGTCTATTCTTGAGAAAGTTCTGTGTGCTCTGGAGAAGATATATACTGTGTTGTTGTTGTATAGATTGTTCTTTATACGTCTATGAGGTCTAGTTAATTGATTGTTTGAATATATTTTCACTTGACTATAAATTAAGTTTTCTGATCTCATTGGAAACTTAGTGGTGTAGTGGTTACGCAGTGGGCTGCAGTCTGCATGGTTGGCAGTTTGAAACCACCAGCCAGCAGCTCCATGAGAGAAAGGCTGGGCTTTATACTCCTATAAACAGTTGCAGTCTTAGACACCCACAAGGGTGTCGCTATAAGTCAGATTGACTTGATGGCATTGAGTTTTGTTTTAGATTTTTGATTTTTATGTTTTAATCTCATTAGCAGTTTCATGGTATTATATTTATGAATGAACCATAATTTATATTATCCACCATTTACTTGGGTTATTTTCAATGTTTCTGTACTATAAACAATTTCGAAATGACTAGGTTTCCACATTAATCCTTGCACAAGAATAATATGGACATTAATACGTATAAGAATTTCTATAATTCCTACAAAGAGAATTTATCATTTGAAGCATATATATATTAAAATTTAACTTTTCTAAATCACCATTAAGTTCCAATATTAGGTTATAGGTAATGCTGTGGTCATTCAGCACTGAAGATGACTGCAAAAACTTGTTCATTTAAACGCAACGTTATTCTACATTTACTAAGTAAATATTTATTGAGAATACACTACATACAGGCACTGATCCAGGCCCTCTAAAGGCAGGAAAACCCCCCTCTCAGTTACGCATTGTATCTAATTCACAATCTAGGACAGGGGTCAGCAACTGTGGCTCTTGAACCATATGTGGACCTTTTGGCACATACATGTGTCTTTGAATTAAATTTGGAAGAAAATGAAAGGATATTATTCAGATAATGGTGATTTCATCTGTTTGTAAAAATCTGCTTATGGCTCTTGAATAATTTTTGAATTGTTGTGAGCGGCACGATTGGCTCTTCCATCTCAAAAGCTTGCTGAGCCCTGGTCTAGGAGATGATGAAGAGAGCTGTTTCCACATGTGTTCCCCCTTATCCTTAGAGGGCCGAGGCAAAGGTGGCTCGGGCTACGTACATTAACCTACAGTTGCATTGCCAGTGTTGCTGGTGTTATCATTGTCATAAGAATTAGCTGTGAGGGTGGAGAATATCAAGAAAGTCCCTAGGGACATCTTCAAAAATGTCCTGCTTCTCCTAGCCAGCTGTACTCCCAGACCAGTATCTGCAATAAGCAATAGTAAACTAGACTTTCCTGATATAAGCAATCATTCTTAATCTGAGCTTTTATTTTTCTAATGTCTGACTTCCTTGGGTATTCTCTAACTTCCAAATTTGGCAAGTTTCGATATTTCTGTCAGCATCACAGGCTCATACTCTATCTTTAAAGCTAATGTGCTGCCTGCATTGGGTTTTCAGGGAGCACAGCTGCTTTCAGTCAGTAGTAATAAAGTAATCCCTGTGCCCAATTTTATGACCAAACAATTAGCAGCAGCCTGTGTACTCAATGAATTGTTAGTTGGTTGTTGGCGCTATTCAAAAAGTGAGAATGGTAATTATGGCAGTAGCATATTTAAACTCACGATACACCAGGCAAGACGAGTAAGGCATTTGTTTAGAGCAGCTGGTTTTTTGGATGGACAGAAACCCAGATGGAGTAGTTCCGAGTGACTGAGTGTTAGGAAGGTTATATAGTGTTCTAGTATACAATCATCTCTGCTTTGGGAAGGTTTCAGCCACTCACTTTGAGTTAAGAACCTGAAACAATGAAACACAAGCATGAAGATGATACCTTGAGAGGAAGGACATGCGTTACAGAACAAATAGAGATTCCATTTATTTCAATGATTTACGTTTATTTGACACACTCTGTTTTTTAGAAATTATAATAAAAACTAATTGTAAATTATATTCATAGTAATATTTGTGGAATTAGTATACATTTTATTTTATTCTGACTATAAACAAAAGCTGTTCCAGCTTTTATAGTTAATGAGACATGTTGAAACCCGAACTGGATGTTGTATTCTATATAGTCTTAGTTATGAAAAGGAAAAAAATTGACATCTCTAACTTTTGTTTCCTTTGGAAAAGCTTCTCTGGTACAACATATACTGTCCAGAATAATCAGAAAACTATTTTTATGCCAGCAGTTTGGCATCTACATTTTTCTCATGAAACCAGATTTTTAAAGAGAAATTAGATTTTGCCCAGAAATATATGTTCCTGTTTTGAGACACAAATGGCTATCATGATTTTTGGATTCTCCATGTGAAATAGCTTGTTATTCTCTGCTTATATTGAGGTTTTAAAATATTTTTTTCACATATGAGTTTATTTACATTTATTAATGATTTAAATAGTCATCCAAAAAGCACTATTATTATGGCGTAAGTTATTAAGTAGCCAGAATGAAGTATTTATGATCCAGCTCTCAACAAGTAAATTGGAGAAATAACTTACAGTTCATGACTTGATGTTGAACCATTACAATAATTGAAACAATGTGCTTGAAATTCATTACCATGAAATCTACATTGTACCCATGTGGTCTCCTTAAAAAAGTCAGGCATTTGCAGAAGGCTCAATGCAAAGAAATTCTTTGAAAAATAAAATGCCTCATTTAGTAAGAAATTTACTTATTTTGCATAAACAAAAAATAAAATGAAACAAATTTAATTAAGCTGAAACTATATATGCTAAAATATTCTATCATAGGTTCAAATTCATCAGTAGCAGTATGAGTCCCTGTATTTGTGATATTAGCTAGCTAATTCTAGATGATCACATTTACTTAAAT